CGACCACGGGGATATGTATACCTACAGACTACATAGAACGAGCATTCCATGTGTCTGAGGAAGTGGGTTTTGATCTACAAACGCTCTCACTGAAACAAATATTGTTGTCTCTAAGGTACCAAACATTTTGTCCTTTCCCCCCTTTTTATATTTTTTGCTCTTTAATTTTGTCAGCATGCTGAGACAAACTCACACAGCTACCTCTTTAGAAATGGATAATCCTATTGTGCTTATTTCATAGTGCCACAGTACTGCTATTCTGAAGTGGCTAATATTAAATAAAATAAAGTAGGACAATTTGTTTGAAAATAAATCTCTTCCTGATAGTTCAAAACAGGCTGGGCCTAATTTAATAGCTCTTAATGCCCTTTGAATTCAGTGGTACAAGTTAATTGTGACCCAGTTTAAGTCCAGAGCTGATTTTAAAGAGATTTAAGTGTGACTGGTTTTCTCCGGACTGGAGTTATTAATTACAGAATTCATTGTTCTTGCTTCCATGTTCTTGTCAGTCAATTCTAAATGTCTCTATCAATCAACTGTTTTCTGCAATGAACTACAAGATGGTCTGTGCAGGATTTTAGAGGGTGTCCTGAGGCCGCAGGTTGCCTGATCCCAATACTAAAATGAGGTTGACTCTCAAAATGCAGATTATGCTGTAGCAGTAAATGTAGGTTGTCTTTGTCAAGGGCTGGCTCCATATTTCTGCGTGGACTCCCTGTTAACAAACTCTTCCTCAGGGTGCCAACCTTACACTTACTTTGCCTTGATCCTGTGTATTTCCATGTAAAGACAGCACCCCTTTGAAGGTGGGCATCACAACTTTCAAATCTTGTCGTGATCGCTTTCCCTGTCTTTACTCTTCAAGTATGTCACTCTCAGGCCCCTATCTTGAGTGTTTGGTATGTTGGCCGCAGAAGGACAGAGGCTGAAATGCCACTCTTTACAACCCTGAAGGGAGTCCTTTTCCTTCTGCAGACTGGCTGGACTGCATCCTGCCATTGGCTAGCCTAGCCAACTCAAAGGACAGAGCTGCAGCAGGCCTCAGCAGAAGGTATAGATTTGACCTATAGAGAGAAGGTATTTTTGCCTCTAGTATTTATTCCTGGAGGGAAGCCTGATTAACTCCCAAAAAGGAGTGACAGGAGGGCTACTCTGTAGGTCTTGTTGGTAGCACTTCAGGTCTCTGTTTAGGGTGGTTGTTTGGCAGTGTGTGTGTGAGACAGGAAAGGAATGAGTCACACGAGAGTCCTTTCCTGTCCGACAAGCTATTTTTCCTTTTGACTCTTGACTTGCAACTGACAAAGCCAGAAGTCTTGCAGTGTATCACTTTTCTTTCCTGCTCTGCTCCTTTGAGAAGGAGAGCAGCAACATGCTGCTTTAACAGGCTGACACAATCCAAATAAATAAAGAAGGGAGGGGTGGCTGTGTCCTGCAAATAATGTGGTCGTGAGTTATGTTTGCAGCGCACAAGTACTTGTTAGTACAAATTGAGGGGAAGAGACATTTCATGGCAGGGACTGCTAGACTGGATAACATTCAGACTGTAAAATGCATCATCAAACTTGCCTTGCCTCAACAAATGAAACATCCACAGTCTGCTCCTTATTCTGAGAGGCCCATTCGGTACTTTTCAGCAGACTCGCCTTTCAAAGCCATTACCCCAGCGTCTCCTAGACATGTGATGGTGAGAGTTATTTGGACACAATACCCCAGCCATAGGAAGATCAGACCAGACGTTCACCAGGAAAGGTGTGCTCGGAGGCAGAGCTGTGGAGGGCAACAGCAAAGCAAGGAAAGTGATGTGAGAAAAAAGGAAGAGGAAGGGCATGGAGGATGATTTACTGCAGTTAATACATTGCCCCTTTTCAGATCTAGCTTCAGCCCTGTGGTTGCTTGAGTCCCTGTCTCAACCCCTTTGTCTGCAGTATGGGTACTTTTAACAGTACGTAATCTGTTTTGCAGATCAGTCTGCCTTTTCAAGAACATTAGAAAGAAAAACTGAAAACATATCTGAATAAGCTTTGAATTCAATTTCACCTGTAAGTTTTGTCAGAAGTTTAAAGTGATATGTGGAAAGTAGACTCAAAATTTATTTACTTTCCCAAGGCTATGTCACACTTTTTACTTTGAAAAAGATTAAAAGCAGCGATCATAAAAAGCAATCAACATCAATTACCAAACTACACTCCCCCCCCCCGAAAACCATAACAAAAGCAATAGTTGAAAGAGGCAAAACATCATTTATCCATTTCCTTGATGTTAACTTAGATAAGTTATAGATATAATGCCAGAAGAAAAGTAAGTTTTGTTTGTTTGTTTGTTTAACCCTGCCTTTCTCCTTTAAAAGGACCCAAGGTGGCTTACATGATTAAAAGACAATATTTAAAGTTAGAAATGGAGTATGGTGACCAAAGATTTAAAATGCTTAGATACAGAATCTGTTGACTAGATATTAAGCTAGAGCAACAACTTTTGTAAATTCCCAGTGTGGTGTAGTGGTGGATAGAGTGATGGACTAAGAGTCTGAAGAACAGGGTTTGAATCCCTTCTTGGCCATGGAAACTTGCTGAGGAAGTAGAACTGGTAAAAACCACTCCTTAAATATCTTCACTTACTTTGAGAGTTCTGTTTGGACTGCTACAATTCAGTTCTGACTTGACAGCACAGAACACACAACCACACACAAACAACTTTTGTCAGAATTTGGTTTTACAAAAAGGAGAATTAAAGACATATCCCATATCCCATATATTTGTCTTTATGGGATATGGGATGAATTTATAAATGCTATACTGACTAAAGGAAAAGGGGAAAAGCTGAACCAAGATTATATGTATTTTTGGAAGGGATATGGGGATAGTTAAATGAAGGATTGGAGGTCAGATGTAAGCAGTAAAAAATTAAGTGAGATATAATGGTCCCCATGGTGAAGGGAGCACTAAGTTTTGTTTTATTATTATTATTATTATTTTGTATGTAATTTGTGTGGTTTATTGTTTGTTTTTTTAAAAAAGGATTTAGTTTTACAGGGCATCCCCTCTGAAGAGGGGAGTGGAGTGTGGTCAGCCACCTCTCTTTCTCTCTCATTCTACCTTTCCCTGTTCCTCAGTCTGCCGTTAAGTCCCCAGCACTAAGTAAGACCTCCTGCAATATTCTGGTATGGTAACTGAGGAACAAGGAGATGGTCAAACACGGCCCAGCATCTCCAGTTTAATCCCCAGTGAGCTGGTGAACAGCAGAGGAGTAGAAGGTGGCAGCTGGCACAGAAAATACGAATACCCCCATCTCTAGTTGTTAACATAGCATGGTTTCAGTAACGCTGTTATCAAGTAACTTCTGCCTTAAAAATTTGTGGCTCATCAGTAATGAATTAATAATGCCCCAAGAGAAGCTAGGAGGAGCAGTCAGGTGACCGTGTCAAGGAATTATTCTGTGATCCGCATACTGAAGCATGGAATAGATGTTGCACAGCAGAGTTTGGGAATGCCATTTAGCCACCTGGCAGTCCGGTCTTAACCTTGCCAGATTATTTTGTGAAGTCGTAACACCCTTTATACCCAAAGGCCTAGGGCTCTGCTGGATTTCATCTATTTTATTTGCTTTTAACTATCCCACCGGTTGCTCCAGCAGCTGGCCTTTGTGTAATATCCCCCTGGCCGGGAGGCAGAGTCCAGGGTGCTGAGATCTTGGCCCTCCCCCTGTGTCAGAGGGGTGAAGGTTGCAGAGGTTTCTGCATGGGGTAGAGAAGACAGATGCAAGATCAGGTCTCCTCCAGCTTTGGAGAGGAAGATATGATGTTTCCTGCAGTATTGTAGCATTGGAGACTACATTTGTGCCCCAAATGCAAGAAGTAAAATGAGCAACTAAATATATTTCACGATATCCTTACCCTAAAGGCGTTGGCAATTTAGCAATCTACTTCGCTTTTTGGACTGCTTGTTGCATGGCCTGTTTCAATGTATTTCCCCATGACCAGAGGAGACTGCGAACTAGTCCAACCCTTCTCCTGGCCCTATCTTGGACCCTTTTTGGTTTAGCAGCAGGGCTACTCTCTCTCTCCCTCTTTCTTTCCTTCTTTCTCTCTCCTTTTCTTTTCTTTTTCTTCTTGAGCTGGGCTGGAGGGATGGGTTCTCGATCACATGTGTGCAGAAGGTTCCCTTTCAAGGGTTGCTTTAAAGAAAACACCCAGTGAAGTGACCCTTTTCCGTTGCAATCCAGTATTGCATCCTAACATAAGACCTGGAAATGTGATTTTTCAAGGAGCAATAAAACTCTTCCTGCACCTTGAATTTTGCTTGTGAAAGAATCAGCCAAGAATTGCTGCTTGAAGCAGAGCAAAAACCAAGCAGACAAATAACCACAATTTTTATAGATAACTACTTGCAACAAAAACACAAAGATTTATGGACTGCAGGGAAAATAAGGAAATCTCTTTGATTATATGTGGTTTTATGGACTATGATTGCTATAAAGCTTTATTTTTCACTCTGGCTTGTATGACTCTTAAAATGTTTAGATAATGAAATGTTTCCAGCAGAGGGGCAGAACTTTGACCAAGCTTTGTAGCTTTCAGAGAATATGCTGTGAATTCAGATCAGCAGGATAATTTGCCAGCATGATCCTAGATAGTGGAATACAGCAAAGACTTACTAATTAATTAAATAAAATACAATGTTTTTTCCCCCTTCTCTTGTAAATAATTGACCTTGTGTACAGTGATCAGAAGAAGAGAGAGAGTTCCTGAACCTTTATTAGTTGTGTGGAGGAGGAGGAGGAGGAGGAAATTTCAGTAGGTGCTGATTACATTAAAAACAGTACCTTAACATTTCCTCTTTTAAACAAGCATTAAATGTGCACAGATACCTGTTTTTTTTTTACCGAACCCTGTGAAAAACAGGTGATAGAAAAATGACCGGTGTGTATCAAGGTATATATGCTTTTTGATTTATATATCTCTCTAGCTTTCTCTCAGTTGTTTTATTTTTCACTCCCATTGACAGATACGATTTCATCGAGATCCGAGATGGAGACAGTGAATCAGCTGATCTTCTGGGCAAGCACTGTGGAAACATTGCTCCTCCTACCATCACTTCCTCGGGCCCTTCTCTCTACATTAAATTCACCTCTGACTATGCACGCCAAGGGGCTGGCTTCTCTTTGCGCTATGAAATCTATAAGACAGGTGAGTACCTAACCACTAGGGAAAGAGACACAGGTCTTTTCTTGCCTCCTCCGCCCACCCCTCCCCTGATCTTATGTGTGCGTTCATTGCATCAGACGGCTTTCTCCTCGCTTGTGCTGCTTCTGAGTTCAACAGTTCTCAGGGTTCTGGTCTGAACTGAAGGCATGAGATAAAGATAAACTATGTTTCCTGTAGCTAAGCAGGGCTAGATTTAGGCAGTGCCTGGATGGGAGATGGCACGCTATGCAAACTGCCTTGAACTTCCTCGTGGACGAATTGTTAAAAATGTGGTCAATAAATAAAACTGTCTTTTAATATAAATATATACTTTGATTTTCACTTCCTTGAAAAAATTTCTGAAGCATGTTTTAGGCTAAAATAACTCCATTTGTTGGGTTTTTGTTTTGCTTTGTTTTGTTTTAAGTCAGCTTATTAGTATCCTGGAAAGAATGAGTGCTGCTTACTGAGACATTCTTTGTGCCTTACTCAACCAGTGGCTTGCTAGTCTGCACTCAGAAATTCAGCTCTGCTCGAAGCTGTCAGATTCTTTGTGATCAGGCCAGCTGCTGTTGTCCACTAGTCAGCATACGAGCTTTGTGCCTGCCCAGCTAGTAAAAGAAGAGAACGGTTAGACCCACAAGCTGGGACGGTAGGTCAGACAGGGAATTGGTCTGCTTTAAATCCCCTGTTGTTTTGCCCCAGTTCAGAACGACAGAATGGACTTAGCACTGCTTATTCTCTTGTTTCTAGTTTTTATTTTGTGGGTGACAAACCCTGTGGAAGGATTGATGAATCTACACTGCCAGTTGTCTAAGGCCAGGATTCTCTGCCTTTCTTCATGTCCTACTGACTCTATCAAATAACCTGGCTTCTGACACAATCATTTTCCCAAAGGGAATTTTTTTTTTTTTGTTACTGTATTTACCATCACCTCCTGGGAAATAGAAGGGGAAGATATGGAGGCAGTGACAGATTTTATTTTCCTGGGCTCCATGATCACTGCAGATGGAGACAGCAGCCACGAAATTAAAAGACGCCTGCTTCTTGGGAGGAAAGCGATGACAAATATTGACAGCATCTTAAAAAGCAGAGACATCACCTTGCCAACAAAAGTCCGAATAGTCAAAGCTATGGTTTTTCCTGTCGTGATGTATGGAAGTGAGAGCTGGACCATAAAGAAAGCAGACCGCCGAAGAATTGATGCCTTTGAATTGTGGTGCTGGAGGAGGCTCTTGAGAATCCCCTGGACTGCAAGGAGAACAAACCTATCAGTTCTAAAGGAAATCAACCCTGAGTGCTCACTGGAAGGACAGATCCTGAAGCAGAGGCTCCAGTACTTTGGCCATCTCATGAGAAGAGAAGACTCCCTGGAAAAGACCCTGATGTTGGGAGAGTGTGAAGGCAAGAGGAGAAGGGAACGACTGAGGATGAGATGGTTGGACAGTGTCACCGAAGCAACCAACATGAATCTGACACAACTCCGGGAGGCAGTGGAAGACAGGAGGGCCTGGCGTGCTCTGGTCCATGGGGTCACGAAGAGTCGGACACGACTAAACGACTAAACGACGACGATTTATCATTTATGGGGAAACAAGCACATACTGAAAGATCACAGATGGGTAATTGACACCACGCAGGGGTGGGAAGAGGCAGCAGGTTAAACTTGCAGAAAGATGCATAGTTTGAGGGGACGAAGAATTCTTAGAAATTATTATGGAAATCCTGTCCCCCGCCTAGCCCTACTCCAGTGTCCCACCAGGAAAGTGTGTGCCACTGGTCGAGATGTCTTGGGCAATGACGTTTGGACCTCCAAATGTTTTAAAGACCAGATGCTTAGAAGACCAACAATTGAAAATGACTCTTCTGGGGAAGATGTTGGTCACTTAGATCGTTCACAAGCCCAGGGCAAAGAAAATTGGGGAATCTATTTTCCTATCAATATCTGACAATCTCTTTGTACTGTTAAATGTCACTTTCATTGTGATGTCCTTCCTGATTGCTGCCCCTTTCAGATCTGCTTCATCAACACCTCCGAGAAGGTAAAATATTTCAGTGGAATATTGACAATACGTTTTGATTTTCTTCTTCTTCTTTTGGCATGAAAATGAGGCTTCTTCATTGAAGTGATCTCATGTACCCTGGGACTCCAAATACAGTAGTATATCTTTTCTCCATGGCCTAGTATATGAGGAGCTTATTAAAGCCAAGGCTAAGTAAAAACAGACTAAACGACTAAACGAACGAACGAATTAAAGCCAAGGCTAAGTGAAAACGGTTCTCTCTTAGGTCTGCACAAAGCTCGCCCCTCCTCCTATGGATATGTGATTCAAGCACTGATCAATAGCCTTGTGTTTCCTCTTTCAAGAAGCCAAGGGTTTTGTAACTGGTGTAACACTGGCTTAAACGGGCTGCTGTTGGCAGTGCCATCAAGGGAACAAGACGGGCGCCTCTTGAGTGTTGCACAAGGGGAACTATTCATAATGCCCTTTTAATACCACAGTATTCTTGGTGAAAGTAAAAAAGAAAAAAAAGGAAAGCTAATCAGAGGCCTTTTAAAATTCACTCTGTCTAAATATTTGTTAGATTGGGGTGTGTGGGAACGAGAATTCGTGAGAAATAAAAAATAGTCTTGTTTTGGGCCTGCAGGCGTGGGTGAGACAATGTTTTTAATGTACTCATGGAGAGGCCAGGCAGTGTCTTGTGCAAGAGTTGGGGTTGGGGATTGGGGGGAGCTCCCGGTCACAGGACCCAGAGCTGTCGGCAGACATTCCACGGCCGGCATCATGGATGGGAGCACACAAGATCTACGTTGGCATCAGAACATGAAGCAATTACCATGAAGAAAAAGCCCCCGCACAAAAAGGAGGGAGTCGGAGGCAAAGAGGATTGTCCTTACAGAGATTCTTAATGAACCATGGAACAGATTATGGGAAAGTTGCCTTTTCCGACTATGACTTCCAGAATCCCCCAGCCATAGCTGTGTGGGCTAGTGGGTTGAAGACGTGGCTGTCCAGACAACTTCAGGCTCTTTGACAGAGGCATAAATGCAGAGACATGAGGATGTTCAGTTTGATTTTCCCATTCCCATCCTTATCTCCTCCCCCCCCAGCTTTATGGTCCACATATAGGTCAGCCTTCATAAATACCTGGGAACAGATCTTGCACAAATTGGCATCAACTTTCCTAGCCATCATCTACAGGGAACTGAGCAACAAGCTTCAATGTCTTTAAAGCGTTTTCATCTGATCTTGTTAGAACTGTGCCAACATGTCTGAATTCACTTGAAAGTGTTGGCTCTTGCCTGTGAAGGTCTTCATCGATTAGGTCCCCCATATGTCCCAAAATGTCTCTTTTTTATCATCCTTTCTGTTAGCTTCAATTTTCTTCCCAGTCTGTGCTCTGAGTTCAGATCCTGTGTAACAATGTGAAGACTGCCATGAAAAGGAACCTTTGTACCAAATGACCCAGTGCGGTGGCATGGTTTTCCATTCTTTAATAGCCTTCTGCTTGAATTGCCTCAACTGCCGTCTTTTCTGTCTGGCTTTTTGGTTCAGACAACTAGCTTTGTTTCTTCTTGCTGCTGCTGCGTGTTTCTGTTTTCCTGGTTGCTGTTTATTTTGCTTTTTATTTGTCAATGTGTGCTGCAATGAAAGATAGCTAATAAATGTTTACAGTAGCAACAGTAAGAAACTTGACTTTTAGTTACATTAGTGACTTTTTAGTTACACAAAATATCTTCTCTGACTTGGGGAAGCTCATAGTGCTAGAGTTTGGACCTTTGGGTTCTGTAAGGCTGGCTTGTTCTTAGCTTTTCCTATACCTGTTAATCCCTGCATTTATCCCCTTTGCAATGCGGCATGCATAGCTGCATCCCAGGTGCAGCACGCAGGCCCTCCAGATATTATGGACCACCATCTCCATAATCCCTTGCCCTTACCCATCCTGGTCCAAGCCCTTGGAAAACGGCATCCAACACATTTGGAAGGCCAAAGTTCCTTGCCTCTATAGCAGTGCTTCTCAACCTTGGGTCCCCAGATGTTCTTGGACTACAGCTCCCAGAAATCCTGGCCAGCACAGCTAGTGGTGAAGGCTTCTGGGAGTTTTAGTCCAAGAACACCTGGGGACCCAAGGTTGGGGACCACTGTTCTATAGAATGGGGAGATGTTAGCATGGATTGAACTGTAAACCAGATCTGGTGCAATTGTGATCATGGAGCTAAACATGACTGGGGGACAGCTAAAAGCACTGATTTTATACTAATACAGAGTCCCAGCATTTAGACAATTATTGGATTAATTTAATTGTTCTCTAAACCCTGTTTTGATCACTTAAAAGGTGCCGTTGATTCTTCAGACGCCAGTTTGTTTGTTTGTTTAATGTAACATTACTTGTGAAGTAAGCAATCACAAAAACTGAAGGTCACACACTTATTCAACTATAAAGGTATTCTATTTCCCTTGCATAGAAAAAAGTACCTCTTTCAAGAGAGGTACTTAGTGGAATGTGTCCTTTATTTTATTTATATGCAGATATAATTAAAACCCTCCAGCTTAATCATCTGAGACGTTTTTAACTGGGTGACAAGCCAACATTAGTATTTCTCCTCCACTTCATAAGCGAGTCTCCGACTAAGTCCAGATACAACAAGGCCAGCCCTACTGTTGGCAGAGAGGGAGGCAGTTCTGAACACTGTTTCTCTGTTAGTCATAACTTTATTTCTCCTTTCCTGCAATGAGCTCAAGGCAGGATATGTGGGTCTCTTCCTCCTCTCCTCCTCCTTCCTCTGACTTCACCATCGTCCTGTGATGTAGTGAGGACGGAGGTCACCCCAGGGAGTTTTGTGGCCCAGCATGAACGAAAACCTGGATCTCTCCAATCCCAATCCAGCACTAACCATTATGCCACACTGGTTCTTGTGCTGTGTTGTGAGTATTGGCCACTAGGGGGTGCATGTTCTTTGCTGTCCCACAGTTGTTCCCTCTCATGCTTCCATGTGCTATGTGATGGAGCACAAATGCCCTGAAAGTACAGAAAGTACAAGAATAAAATACGTCATATGATGCTGCAAACACTTGATGGGAAGAAGCTGGTTACATGCGGCCTGTTGGGTTAGCAAATTTGGTGATTCATCTTTAGCTGTTCATGTCTGAAATGGATCAAATTTGAGTCTACATTGTTAGGGGTTCCAAATAAGTCCCATTCATTTTAGAAGCCATCTGGTTAAGTAAACTTCCATTTCCATTAGCATAAACATTATGGTTCATCTTCCATCTCTTCCTCCAGACGCTAACACACCTCATGCACAAGCAAATGCTTTTGCAGCTTTGTGATGATGGTTTATTAGCAATATGTTTGGAGTCGCTCAGCCCTGGAATTGTGCCTCTTTGGAGCGGCTTCTCCATAATAAAAGAAAGGAGAGAACAGTTGTGAAAGTTAATGCTCTGTTACAACCCTGGAACCACAGGGCCTTGTAACATTCTCCGTCTTCCCTTCCATGCCTCCCTCCCAGTGACCCGCAGCCTGAAGAATTCAATTGTTAATTGTCTGGTCCCCACAGAGCCATAGTTTTCATGCAGTCATTGCCTGAGCAGACTGGAAGCCCCTTCTCCCCCCCAAGGCACCTTGGGTCAGGCAAGAAATAGAAGGCACTTAGCCGGCTGTGGCACAGCGGAGGCCAGGATTGGGGTCATCGCTAAATAAGTGGCAATATTGTCTATCCAGCCAACAGGGAGGGAGGCGCTCCTTAAGGATGGACATTACTTACATTTCTGGTGTGAGGGCTAACATGGCCGAGTGAGAAAGGCAGCTCTGTTTCTCCTTTTGACAGAATCCCCCACAGAACCCCCCCCCAACCCATCCCTCAGAGCCCTCCTTCGCTCTCCTCATCTTTTTTAAGCTTCACATGCTGGTTTTTTTCCCCAGTCCTTAAGATGGGAAACTTCAGGTGTCATTTGGGTGAAACGGCTTGCTAATTGCCACTCTGATGGAAAATAAAACAGGGACGGTGATATTAATAATTAATACGTTTGCAAGGCTGTAGCGATTTTCTGCATGAGGGATTTAAGTGCTTTATAAAAAAAAAAAAAACACCCCACAAACAATTATGAATGACGCCTCTCAGCCTGGCTACGGTTATTGAGGTGGCTAATAACATAGGATGTTAACATCCTGTCTTGGTTCTCTTGTCCCTTGCCGTAGGCTCTGAAGATTGTTCCAGAAATTTCACCAGTTCAAACGGTACTATTGAATCCCCTGGGTTTCCTGATAAGTATCCTCATAATTTGGACTGCGCCTTCACCATCATGGCCAAGCCAAAGATGGAGATCATCCTTCAGTTTTTAACCTTTGATCTCGAGCATGACCCCTTGCAAGTTGGAGAGGGAGATTGCAAGTATGACTGGCTGGACATCTGGGACGGTATTCCTCAAGGTAAGGATTAAAGTGATGTATTGCCAATGCTCTCTTCCGACTCTGGCTATTGTCAAGCTAACAGCATCAATTTTGAGTCCAAAGAGTTCCATAAAGGTCATAAATTGCTAATGCTCTACAGCTGTATCCAATCTCATATATTGTTGCTTTGTCCTTAGCAGAGGCCAGAAGTTAAATTGAACAGTGATGGAGTTCTCTGCTGTACTTCTTCTGCTGGCATTGCACCTTTTATGGTCCACTGTGATATTAGGGGATGTTGAGAATACACTAAGGCTTTTGAATAATCTGATCTATGGAATCAAATCATGGAGATCTCAAGGTAGAATCTGAAGTATTGGAGCACTGGTGTTTCAGAGAGCCCATTTAACCAGAAGGTGTAGAATAAAGTCATGAGCTACCTTGACTACACACAGCAAGGTTTTGTGTGTTACCCTGAGCCCCATTTTTGTAGGGAAATGGCTGAGAAACATTATCCATTGATCAATCATTTATGATTTTACTCATCAGGAAAATAATGGATGGATTGGAAGTATAATATAGATGGAAATAGCCATAAGCTTGGCTTTTTTGATACCACACGTATGTATGTATGTATGTATGTATGTATGTATGTATGTATGTATGTATGTATGTATGTATGTATGTATGTATGTATGTATGTATGTATGTATGTATGTATGTATGTATGTGGTGTGTGTGTGTTTATCTGTGTATTCCATATATGATTCTTTGCCATGAGAATGAATCTCCAGTGAGTGTTCAGATAAAGTATGGATTCTTCAGAGACAATGCACGTATCTTTCTGTTCATTAGCAAACCTGTCTGAGTTCAACAGAGTTTATTCCAAGGGGCAGTAATGTTAAGTCATAGCCAAAGTTGATAATAGCCAAGTTACTCAGGGTATCAAAATATAATGGACTGTTACCTTTTCAGGATCTACAGTATGTGCAAAGCTTACTGCAGATAGACATTTGTATTCAAGGTTTGGGAAAGTTACTTTTTTTGTACTGTAACTCTCTTAGAGTTTCCTAGTTAGATTGGCCATGGGATTCTGGGAGTTATCATGCTAAAAAAAGTAATGTTTCTTAGCAAGATTGCTTAAGCATTTGTTTAAACTGATGTACAGGGCTATACTCGAGATATATTGTGAAGCTGTAATGCAGTACAGGCGAGTTCAACCCCCCCCCCCAAAGTCCATCCTATGATTTTTTAATTTTTAACTGACTGGCAATATGTACAGATGTGCTATTTCTGGCTCTCCAGTCCTGACCGCCTTTCCAAGCTGATTGAGTAAGGTAGTTATGAATGTCTCTCACCCAAGCTACAATGGACTTTTCTTGTGTTTCTGTTGCAGTTGGTCCTTTGATTGGCAGGTACTGTGGCACGAAAACCCCTTCAGAGATTCGCTCCACTACTGGCATCTTGTCACTTACGTTCCACACGGATTTGGCGGTGGCTAAAGATGGCTTCTCTGCTCGTTATTATTTGGTCCAGCAGGAGGTGCCAGAGAGTGAGTTAACCCATTCTGAGGGTTCACCAGTGCTGCCCTGTGGAACTGGGGTCTGCACCGGAGCCTTGAAGCAGAACAAAATGTAGCCGTATATGGGTGTCCTTTCTGAGCTCCTCATTTCTGAATGCAGTGGCAAAATTCAGATGTGAGTGGGTGGGGGCTGGGGTTCAATATTTAAGTCACTTTTAGTTTGATATCATAAAATTAAGCATTGGAATCACGTAACAGAGCTCAACATGGTCCATTCGAATGTTTTCTTTCTTTCCTGCCTAAAACGTGAATGGTGATGGTTCTGTCACCACAAGCATCAATGGTGAATTTTGAAATTGATGTGAAACATTTAAAACGTATTTTGAAATTCAAAATGGTGCAAAAGTGGCTAAGTTTTGATAAGACTCAGCAGCAGCACTTGCAAGTCCCTTCCATGACATTGGGCTTTCCTCTCCTTTACTTTTGAGACAAAAAAACTAAGGAAGGCCAGAGGGTGGCTCAAAATGGGCAGCTGAATGCCTTCCTCGCTGGCCTTGCAGACTGGAACCAGACCCTGTGGGACTGAATCAGGCCACAGGGCTGGAGCGTCGTTAGCCCTATCCTAATCTGCACTTGTTCCTTAAACTGGGAGAGAGGATGCTGCCGTCAGAGTTAAACTAAGATTGAGTTCACAGTCCAGTTGGCTTCTTTATAATGCATGCATCACTTTGTCTTCCACTTCAGGCAGCAAAATATTTTGAGCCAATGCAATAGCTTTAAAAATCACTATACAGTGGTGCCCCGCAAGACGATGTTAATTCGTTCAGCGAAAATCGCTATCTTGTGAAAACATTGTCTTGCGAAATGCGGTTCCCCATTGGAATGCGTTCCAATGGGGAAAAAGCGTCATCATTTTGTGAAAATCGCCCATAGAGAAACCATTTTGCGAAGCGCAGATCAGCTGTAAAAATCGCTGTCTTGCGAAAAACAGTCTCAAAAATGGCCGTTTTATGAATCGCGGACTCATCTGTCAAAATCGTCATCTTGCGAAAATTGGTCCCGAAAAAAGTCTTGCGAAGCCCAAAACATCGTCCAGCGAAAATCACCCATAGGAAACACCATTTTGCGAAGCACTATAGTGATCACAAAAACGCATTGTCTAGCGAATTAATCATTTTGTGAGGTAATCATCTAGTGGGGCACCACTGTACTGTGCTCTTATCAGTTGCTGTTAGCTAAGAATCCAAATGCCTCCTGAGTGCCAGATTTTATAGGCAAACAACATGGAAGCATGCCTGATTCACACTCTGCTTCTGGACTCCTCAGGGTATTTGCTGGAAACATAAAACGGGACTAAATGTACCATTGGTCTAATCCAAGAAGGAAGTTCTTGTGATCAACACAGCCCTGGTCGTCTTGTCTCTATATGGCTACAAGTTCTTTTAAAGCTCCCTTTTCTTTTTCTTTCTTCCATGACAAAAGGAAACAAACCAAACAAGCCATAAACACACAAAAATGTAGATGCTGGAGAAGAAAAGAAGTCATTATCCAGATGGTTTGGAAATCAGTTGCACATGCGTGCAATATAGCTATTCCATTCTACATCCAACATCTATTTATTTACATGTCATTTTTATAGTCCACCTTTCCTCCAGTGGGTCCAAGGGTGTCCATGGTGCTCTCAGTCTCCATTTTATCCTGACACCTGATTAATAATTTATTAAACTATCCAGTTTATTCAACTATAAGGGAATGAATGCTTTGCTGTAAAGGGGAGGTCTCCACCCCATGGAGGCCATTGTTTTATTTCCTAAAACGGTTCAGCAAGTCTGTAACTGGAAAAGCCATCTGATTTTTGTCTCTATTATTGTTAGACAAAAACATTTGAAAGGCAGTGATGTGTGTTATCTTGATGCTCTTGGCTTACACCTTCTGCCAGGTGTTTGTTTGCTCTGTTGTGTCTTTGTTTTGGGAGGGTTGGCTGACAGCATGCACATAAAATCCCACATATGCTGTTTTCTCACAACAACCCTATGAGGTAGGTTAAGATTAGAGTATGATTAAATGTAAAGGTTCCCCTTGACATTTAGTCCAGTCATGTCCAACTCTAGGGGGTGGTGCTCATCCCCGTTTCCAAGCCGTAGAGCCAGCATTTGTCCGAAGACAGTTTCTGTGGTCATGTGGCCAGCGCAGCTAGACACGGAACACTGTTACCTTCTACACACATTTTTACATGCTTTCGAACTGCTAGGTTGGCAGGAGCTAGGACAAGGGACAGGCACTCACTCTGTTGCGTGGATTCGAACTGCTGATCTTCTGACCTTGCAACACAGAAGCTTCTGCGGTTTAACCCACAGTGCCACCACTTCCCCCTAAGTATGATTAGCCCAGGATTATTTGTGTGTTTTAGGACTGAATGAGAATTTGAAGCCAGATAAACTGACTGGGTTTTCTGTAAGGTTCATGACATTTTATTGCAGACTTCTTGATGTCTTCATCCTTTGTAGGAGACCATCGAGTGGCAAAGTTTTGCAGCCACACAGCAGTCAAGGAAGGATTAGATAAAATTCCACATGTGAGATCTTTCTTGTCTCATTTTGAACATTACCATTTTGTTAGCTTTTTTTTTTTCAGATGCATGAAAGGATGTTGGTGCTCATTTTTTTTGCAGCCACATCTGCTTTCATTGATCAGGTTTTGAAGGCAATCCACAGTGAGGCTTTTAGGACACAGGTTTTACAGAAAGATTCCTCATCTGTCCTTTTTTCTGCCTCCTGCAGACTTCCAGTGCAACAGTCCGCTGGGGATGGAATCTGGCCGGATCTCTAATGAACAGATCACAGCCTCCACCAGTTATTCCGATGGCCGGTGGACACCACAGCAGAGTCGGCTTAATAGCGATGACAACGGATGGACTCCTAATGACGATAACAACAGAGAATACCTACAGGTAATGTCAGCTTGTAATATAATTACTGTCAGTAGCTAAGGAGGGAAATCAACAATCCTTAAAAGGTCTTGGAGTGAAGCCATCATATCCGACTCAGCAACAGTTGTGTTGTTTGGAAAGCTGTTGTGATGTGATGTTTAGGTCACGTTTGCCAAATCCGTGGTCTGCTAGAACCCCCAGCTAGCATCTTTTGTGTGAAAGGCTTGACTTGGTTTTGGCTTGACATGGGCGAGCCTCCTGTGTGTCCATGGCAGCAGCCTTGGCAGAGTTAGCCTGGCGAAGAAGCATCTCTTAAACGTTTAGATCCGTAGTTTCTCTTGGCAGGGGAACAGTCACTCTCCTGGAGTTCCTCGGCCCCATTCTCCAATCCCGCCCCCCCACCCCCTACACATTCATTTTCATCCAAGAACCAATCTGACAATCCTGCTGTGAAACTGACCCCAAGGAGATAGTGGCTTGCAGAATCTGTGGTTGTCCTTGTGGCATGCTGGGGGCCAGCAGAAAAGCTGCAGCTTGGCAAAAACAGCATGGCTCTGTCTTCATGAACTGAAGGCAGCAGCTCTGTCCAACCATTAACATTCCTGCAGAAGTTCGAGGCTTGACCTGGTGCCCCCTGAACCCTTGATGGGCTTTCCAGAAAGCTAAGGAGGGTTGGTAGGGGGTGGTGTGGGAAGGAATCGAGAAAGCATCCTAGCACTTACAAGCTTTCTAGGGCTCTACAGCAGTCAAAAAGGAGTGGGATTTTTGCTTTTGCGTGTGTTGGGCAGGTCCAGCAAGAATAATATTTATTCTTCTTGGGGAACTGCGATGTGTCCCAGCAGCTGGGAATTCCAGCTGGAATGTACAAACAAAAGGCTTCAGGGCTGCCCAGAGCAAACTGATTCATGATTCACGCAGCAAAGTGTTGTGGACTGGAGTAAGGTCTACAGGATGGTAGGTGCTTAAGAGCATTCAGTGCTGGAAATACTGAAAGGTCATTGCCCATAGAGCTGCCCAGTGCTTCATAGCTTCATGACCGTTTATGATCTCCATCAGTAAGAAATCACTAAGCCTGAACTGGACATCATGACTTAATCTTCCATGTGAAAGACACCCCATCTGACCAAAATGGGTTAGTCTCTGCCTTCCACCGAGGAGTGGTGGGAGACCTCAGTTTTAGCAGTCCTTCTGTTGCTTGAGAGTTGGCTTTTTTTGACTTTAGTAATGTCAGGGCAAAGTTCCAAACCCCTTTACTCAGCAGAAGCTTGTGGTTCCCTCTCCTTCCCCACCCCACCCCACACTAGCAGATAGGCTGCCTGAAGCACAAAAATGCCTCTTTTTTTCCAGCTGAAACCTGCCAGTGTTTGTTTGCAAAATATTGGTGCCTCTCCTCTATATGGTAAATGGCACATTTTTAAAAGAGCACACCTCCCGTTTACATTCAAATTACTTCTACTCCAGTGCACAAATTACTATTTAATTGTTGTTGATTATGACAGTGATGATGATGGTTTTAAGCCGAGGCAGGAACACAACATGCACTGGGCGGTTTGAGAGAAACATAATGAGGATTTTATCCCACACATGTTTAGAGTTCAGTCCAACAAGACAGCGAGAAGCAGGGAAGGGGGTAGATGGGCAGTTCCGAAATGTGCTACTCTCCTTCAATTACGAAAACTGCAACAAAACCAGGCCAGCTGAAAACATTTCCTTCTAAGGCTCACAGGCTGCCACATCCAGGAATGTTAACTCAGCTGGTCTGAAAATTGATCCTATTAAATTCTTATACTGGAACAGAGCTTAGATGGAATAGGCAACTCTAAACATGGCCAGTGGCAAAAGCTACAGCTGCGTCACAGCAATCTGCTAAAAATGAAATACTGTCATGCTAATTTATGCCGGCTGCGTACCCGATCCTGATCAGGTCTGCTTTCAGAAACATCTTCCTTGGAGCAGCTGCAGCAGAGCAAAAGTCCTGGGGAGCCCACTTAGCATAACACACAACTATTGTCCCCTACCAATGACGCGCCGTGATCTACTGTGGTTCAGTCAGAAGGCAAAAAAAGAGGTTCACAATCCCACCTTAGAATGATGTGTTTGGGGGGCATAATTTCCATCAGTGTTTTTGCCCTCTTGTTCTGCAGGCTTGTCCTGTATAGCAGCTGCCAGAAAGCACCCAAGCTGTCTCAGAGTGCAGAACAAGCTGTTTTATTGAATGTCTGGTTAAAGCTCCTGTTTTTCCCGACTGACCACAGGTGGATCTTCGCTTTCTGACGGTGCTGACGGCCATTGCTACGCAGGGTGCCATTTCCAGAGAAACACAGAATGGATACTACGTTAAGTTATACAAACTGGAAGTTAGCACCAACGGTGAGGACTGGATGATATACCGCCATGGCAAGAACCACAAAGTAAGTGCTTTTTCTCTCCACCCTCTCCAGTCCGCCCCCCCCACCCCAAAATGTTACAAGGCATCCCAATGACTGACAACAGTGGTGGTAGAATGGAAGGCTGAAATGAATGGGGAGTTTACAAAGAGTTGTGCTACGTCTGTTTACTGCTAAGACACCAAATGCAGAAGCTCCCTCCTCCCCCCCACACGCTGTTCCCAAACATTTCTCATATCGTGAGGAAGGATCGTTCTGTGGAAAATCTGGCTTGCTTCGCCGAGGGGGAGAGAGAGGGAGAGGAAGAGGCTCTGGGATGCCTTTTGACTGCAAATGAAGGAGAAAATGCTTTTGCAGACCCATGTTTTGCCATACAAGATTCATTGAGCATTTACAGCCTGGGCCTGGTCCCCATGCTGGGTTAACAATCACAAAACCACACGAAACTGCAGTTCAGGAGTTACTGAGGCCTGGAAGAATGAAAGGGCACAAATCCTGGGAGGGGGATCACAATGTCCCAGAGAATAAAGCCCGACAATAAATAATGAGGAGCAATTTGGCCTGTCAGGGGACAGGGGATCTGTAGCCTCCGCAGTGGTTTGGCAGTGATGCATGGAGTACTTGCTCCTGCTCTGTCTATAAATACGGCTGCTGCGCTGACCCTTGCTGATCCCTCCACCTCCCAATGCCTCCGGTGTGCTCAGTGGGGAGGAGCAGAGGGGGGAAGAGGGGAGGGTGGCTCAGAGAGGCACTTATTTCGTGCTCTGGGCAGGTGTGCAGGAGAGGGGGGAGCAAAAGCACAGTCCGTGCAGAGTGCAACTGGGTATAATAATGAAGCGCTGGTTGCTCCTGGGAAGGCACAGAGCTGTTCATCATCCTTGCCCTTCTTCTGAAGGCGCTCAGGACTGCCCCTGCCCTGTGCTGCTCTGTAACACCAGAAAATGAGAATTCACAAATGTTGTCATGGTAAATCGCCTCAAGCCAAGGGACGGGGAGAAGAGGTGTTGAAGTAAAATCTGAAAAAGGCTGAGGAGGGAAAGCAGCTGCCTTTCCCCTGCTAGGCAGGCCTCCTTAAAAGGAGGCACCCGCAGGCTCCTCTTTTATTTCTCCTCGCCTCAAGGGCTGAAGTGCCCAAGGCAATTCACAGAGAATTACTCTCAGGCCTAGCATTTTTGGCCCCTTGCTAGCCTGGTTGGTAATCCAGAGCCAAGAGTGAAGGTGGGACGTTTTTCATGGGTTGTCTGAAGTAGAGAAGAGTTCTCCCTAGGAGGACTAGACCGCGACTCTGAGAAAGTGCTGTTCCTGGTCAGTTCCAGCACTGAGATAAAACAGTATCATAGGAAAAGGGAAAGCGGGGCAATCCCCTTCTGAAAGGGAAAGATCAGCCTCCCTCCCTAAGGTGGCTCAGGTATGGTTCTGGTATGTCCTCCCAAGGCTGAGATCCTGCTTGTGGGAGTGTTTAATAATCCTGCTGTGCCTTTGCATCTGGATAGTTCTGTTTTTCATTAGTAGCTTTCATCCCCTTTGATCCTTCTGTTTGGGAACTTGTGCTACTTGAAATGTTTTCATGGACTTTCAGTTGGACATAAGCCCTGTGCAGGCATTGTGAAAATCTAAGCATTACTCCAGGCAGAACGGGAAGATCCAAAGAGAAGCTACAATTACTGTCTTCTCTGCCATCCAGAATCTTTCTCATGGAGAATTCTAGGTAGCAAGGGAAAGGACTAGAAACACATTCAGCCAGATGGATTGATGCTCTCTTTTCAGATCTCCTTGGTTCACATGGGAAGATCAGGGTGGAAGGTTTGCTTCATACTTAGAGAGTTTGAAAAGGTTGTCACTTAAGGCCGCGACGCCCAGGATCTCCAGCTGAGAGTCCACCAGCCAAATCCCCGACAGCTAGGGAATTCTTGGTGTAAAAAAATAATGTTTCTACATTTCAAGATGACACCATAGGCCTTATGGACTCTCCCACCACTAGATTCACCTGCCTTTGTTTTGTTTTACTTATACTTAATCTCGAAGAAAGAAAGAAAGAAAGAAAGAAAGAAAGAAAGAAAGAAAGAAAGAAAGAAGGAAGGAAGGAAGGAAGGAAGGAAGGAAGATCCTTAGAATTATCAGCAGCAGCCCTCTTGACAAACCTCAGCCAAGTTTAATCTTCCAGCAGGATTCAGCAGGAGATGATTCATGTGAGATTATATCTGTACTGTTCACGGATCTGGAGAACAGTTAAAAATCATGCTCAGGAAGAAAAGGCAATAAATCACTTGAGATTGTCACTTATAGGAAATTTGCTATTTGCAGCAAACTGAGATGTGAGATGGATTTTGATCAGACCTCGTTGTCACATCTGGTTCCTTTCTATTTAACTCATTTAGTCTAGTAGTCCTCATCTGGAGCAAATAGGTTGGAGCAGCAGCAGAGAAGCCGATGGCTTTGAAAGCTGATCTATTCCAGCTGAGGAACACATCATTTGATATTAATCCAGGCGTGTAACCTCCGCCATCACCTTCAGAGGTCATTCCCCTATACCTTCAAAGGACACATGGAGCTGGAGAGGTTCCTGGGTCTCATCTCCACTGCTTCATTACCAACCTTCATGCACCAAACGGGATTGTCTGAAGCAGGAGTCTTCATGCACTCTGCAGTTACATTCTTGATTTCAGGGGCAGTCTACGCACATTCAGCCAAGAGTGCAAAAGTTCCCCCTTTGGTTACAGTGTGCAGACATCAGAGAGACAATGTACGTAGCCCTTTTCCTCCTCCACATGTTCTATAAACCAGACATTGGGGAAGTTACTTCTTTGCACCACTACTCAAAGAATCCCTAACTGTCTTAGTCAGGGGATTCTGGGAATTGTAGTGGAGAAAGTAACTTTTTAAAGATCTGATAGCAAGGATACTAGTCATGGGTATCCATGTGGGGGTGGGGGAAAGGGGAGACTTGCCTGGCCACACAGTCTTAAATGTATGTATTTATTTATTGTTATACCTACAGATTCACATCCAGCAGGTCAGCAGGAGGTTTAAAATGCCCACCCTTAGCAAAAATCTGGCTGCCAGACTCTTGATTCTTTGTACCATTCTGGAGGAGGGCCTTCTGGAGCCATCAAACAGCTCAGATGAATGCTGCTTCGGCAAATCCTACAAGCTTTGAACACCTAATAAAGCCATGCTGAGGCAGATCCAGAGGATATGTTGGGCTAAATAAGATCATAGTTTTGATATAGCTTTTAGAGTAATTGCTTCTTGCAATAGCTTCCCGGATTTCTTTTCGGTAGCGATATAGTCCCCTTTTAACAATCTGGAAACAGAAAGAGTCAGCTTGTGTTTACTGAACATCTTGTTACAGAAGGGATGAGCAACTGCAGGGTGAAGGGTAAAGGAGACGGTTCTTGCCCACCCTGAAAAAGCCACAATTTCAAGGTTCCCAGTTTTGATTTCTTTTAAAAAGTGGGTTTTTTGATTCCTGTGGAAGTCAATATCTATGAGGGAAAATGAGCAGCCACTGTTCTGCCTGTGTTTTGTAAGTCGGTTTCTACAGTATCTTAATACTTCTTAGTCAACAAATTAAGTCACAACAATGACTGATTCTTGCTGTTTCTGAAGAAGGAATTTCCTGGTTTAGTTGAAAGCCACTGTTTCTATCTTCCAAGCTAGGAAGTGCTTATTGCCCCATTATTTTAAACATTAGAAATCCAGGAGTTTGTTTTTGCCCTGCAGAGCAGTGTAACACTGTCCTGTCCATTTTTGTTAGAGTGCTCTATGACAAGCCCCCAATGTAGTCCAAAGCTGATACTCAGTTTCCTGATGTGCCAACTTTTTCTAGGGAAATGCAGGAGTGGGCAGTGAGATTAGTTTTATCAGGAGGGCAATTTGTTAAGAAGTAGAGTTCGTTGTGGCAGAGGGAACCAGGGAGCGACATTGGGGAGTCTCACCTGCAGCTGGAAAGCAGGTCTACTCTGTGGGAAATAATCAAGAAACAAACCTTGTACAGATTTTTCCGATACCAAGCCTACTGACCTTGGTAGTCCTGGTAACCAGGCCTACTAGAAACTGTAGTCCTGCTCTGTGAAACTATCATGATTTTTTTAAATGCACGAACAGTTCAGTTCCACAAGATCATCTGTATAACTCAAAGCTCTTTTATGTTTTGTGTGTTAATGTGCTGTCAAATGACATCTGAGTTACAGTGACCCTAGCAGAGTTTTCAAGGTATGTGAGATGTTTAATGAGGAGTGGTTTTTCCTCCTTATTAAACCTTAAGGAACCTTCCATGGAGCAGGGAATTAAACCCAGGTCTCCTGAGTCTCAGTTCTTTACTACATTACACTGGATCTATTCTTTACAGTATGTTAGCTGGTGTAAAAAGTGGGTCATAACAATATACAAAAAATAAAGTAAAGTAAAGCAGTCCAGGCTTCAATCTTGATCAAGTATAGCCATTTCTCCTCTCCTTGTGGAGTCCACTAGTACTCTCTACAGAGTGATCACCAGCACTTTCAGGATGAAGGAAATCATTCTAGACCATGAGATCCTTTTCATGATGTGTGTGGTGAAGCTTGTCCTTCACTCCACATGAACTTTTGTTGCAGTTTGTCAAATATGCTGCAACAGGACAGGGTTCCAAGTAAACTCAGGGTGTTGTCTCCTTTGTGGGTAGGATTCATGTACGGCAGAGGCCGGAAGGCACCCCAAAATTTGTGCCGCAGGTTTTATATTTGAGATGGAGAAAACACGAAAGTGTCTAACTTGTGGGAAGGACCTGAATGCATCGGTAAAGGTGCGGTGGGGGGACCTGTCCTTCCATTCTTGCCAAGGATCTTTGCCTTCGGAACGCTTCCAAATGTCTGCATTTAATGCCAAAATTCTAGGGGTATGTGTTTGTGTGTGTCTGTGTGTTTGTGTGTGTGTGTCTGTGTGTTGCATCACTGCAGCATGCTGCAAGGTTCAAACTGAAATTACGGGGCCATGCCAAACAGATTTGTCAGTTCTGCCGCAGTTTGATTTGGTGCCATGGAGTG